TTTGTGTGTTTATTATAAACAGGGTGAGGTTTATATATTGATCCTAAAAAGGGGAGAAAACAAAGTTCAGAATATCTAAGGAGGACTCGCATGCTCTCCAGTGACCTAATTAGACTTTAGCCAACAGAGACACACAATTGGTAAGAAAATATATATTTTTAATTCTCACATTAAGTATAATTAATGTTTCACAGAATGAACACAATTATAGCGTAGTGGTTTATACATTCACCTAACAAGCAGAGAGCACAAGTAAGTCTGATCCCCCGGAGGAAAGACAAATCCCTTTGTGGTTGAGTCCCAGAGGCAGCCGGAGTTACCTAAAGAAATCTGCTAAATCAAACATGCAGAGCCGCCCACTGTGGTGACCAACTTGTGAATAAGGGACCAGCCAAAAGTAGCTTTCACAGCAAAATAAAACACATAGAAAGTAGAAATCATTTATACAGTGTTCCAGAAATCAGGTGAGTGCAGATGGGTATGTATCCAAGCTGCATGTAAACCTAAAAATGGTCATTCTTAAGCTTTAAGCGCCAATAAAACCATCCTGATACATGTATTTCTAGGTACTCTTGCTAATCTGAGACACCAGGAGACAAAATGTGTAAATATTAAGGAAGTAGGAAACCTGGAAAGAAAAATCAAATGTGATATGACACAATCAAGTGGAAAACACTATGGATGCACCTTGGCAACACAGAGCAAAGCTTGGGAGCATTAGCTAAAATCAGGTAACTCCACTCCACTCCCACTGGAAGTACACTAGCTTATGACCCCCCTGAGGCAGGGTTTGTGTCTTCTCCCAGTCTCAAAGTAGGAGGACCATGTACAACATGTCCTAACCACTACACAACGATGGCCACGATAACTGATGACTCAGCTCTCTCAAAATATGCTCCAGTATTCGCCCTAAAGCAGCCACGTCCATCTCTGACGAACATTTTATAAATACAATCCGTGTTGAGTTTAATATTTCAACAGAAACTTGAACTGCAGCGGTCCCTGTCATGGCTGGAGGAAAGGCTGTATGTGATGAGCTGAATGCACCGAGGTAGTTTTAACAAAGATTAAACCGAGCTGCCAAAGCGTGTTACTCGAGCCACCTGGTGAATGTGCGAGTTTGTCAAAACTTGACGCAATCGCGCCTTAAAAGGCCAAAAAAAAATGTCTGCCTGTCCTTAAGTGAAAAGTAATGATATGCCGCTTATAAAAAAACAGAAACAAAACAAAATCACTCAACTCAGATAAAATCCTTTTCAAAGCGGGCATATAAAGCCATGTATCCATTCATTCCCTTGCAACCTTTTACCATTTTATTTACCCGAGTCACTGAACGAAGAAAATGTACTACACACAAAAGAGTCATTCAAAGGAAATCTTGCGAACCATGGCAACCTCAGTGCCCTATTATGTTTCATCCCAATTGAACGTCTTGATCCGTGTTTGGCTGACATCCATTTTATGTTGTGAAAACACAGCTGACTTGTGATTATTCACAATATGTAAAGATGTCAACTTAACTGCAAGTACAACAAAGTGCCTCCGACAACAGCACAAAGCGCTCCCCCTGCAACGGTGATGCAATCATCCTTTTCCACATTTTCAAGCCGTCATTTCTCCGGGGGTGTGACGCACCCCCTCCCCTACCCCCCTCGTCAAAAAACAGATTAAAATACATCAAAAAAAAAAGGGGATTAAAGAATCTGCCGACACTCCTAAATCCTTCAAAAGGCGTCCGACTCTATCAAAGGATGAGTACTATTAAATATGAGGCGACACATGTGACACGTGAAGGGTGCCGGTGTTCAGTTTATAATTTCTGCCACTGTGGGGAGGGGAAAAATGAGATTTCAGTGAAGCATGATATCAAAGCAAAGCAATAAGTGGCTTTTGCCATCTTTATATGCCGGAGTAACCTATAGGTGACAGAAAGAGAGAGAGAGTGCACAGCAGAACAGAGGTGAAGCACTTGATTTGGCTGCCTCATGTACATACGCAGACGTCAGATAGGAAAAACAAACCAAATAGGCACCAAGACAGTGAGAGGGCAAAATAAATTCTCCATTTTCTCATTTGGGGGTTTCCCTGTTAAGCGGCAGTGAGGTGGGGCTCACCTCAAGCGATTCTTAAAGAGGGCTGAGTTCAAAGCGTGCCGGTGGGAGGAGAGACGGCTGCGTGGGAGAACAGCAGACAGTTAAGATGGGATTTCTCATTACGCGCGCCTCGCTCTGTGTCCTGGCTAACGCTGCTGTATACCGCTCACTCCTTCTCTGCCCTATAATTTCTCTCACTCACCCCCCTCCCTCCTTTTCTCTCTCGCATAGACTCAAACTGAATGCATAAGATTGCGCCCCACTAGGCCACATTCCCCTTCTCTTTCATCTGAGCCCTGCTTGTGTTTCCACACTATCTGACTGTGCACACACAGAGGCTAAAACACACACAGACAGACTGGATGACAAAGCGAGAGCAAAGAGGGAACACAAGGCAGAGAGATCTTACCGTGTGTGCATGAATGAGAGCTCAGAGCTAGGCAATATGAAAAATAACAAATGTTGAAACTGAAAAAAATCCTTTAAACATCTCTCTATATAAATATATGAAACAGGACTTTTAATTGTTTTATTTCTTTACATACAGTCATTTTTAAATAATTCCCACGTCAGCTGAATGATACGAAACAGTCTGAATTACTTCACTGCATTTTAAACAGGGATTTCCTTCAGATTGGTTACATTCCCGTGTGTTCTTCTAACCGTGTTTTGTCTTTCACTGAATCTAACTACTGTTTCCACCTTCACTTTGTGCATATAAACAAACAGAACTGAAAAAAGTCGGGTAGCGGAGCCCATCAGGGCAAAGAGGTAAAGCGGGAGAGCGCGGCGCTGTCGTGATTGCGTCGCTGTGTGGAAGTAGACGCGTTTGCTCGAGAAGAATGAGCAGCACGTCCCCTTGCAATCAATCCCAGATATTACCCCGGTATTTGTCAGATATGCTCCCTGCCACGCCAGCCATCCGTGACTCATTCCGTCATTACATCGGAGAGGTCACGCCCACTCCACCCCTGCCTGCGCCATCGTTCCAGGGTCTGATGGCGGCCTAATGGCCTGCTCTCTCTACACTGCAATTAACCTTTTTATTGGCCACCTGCCAGACAGCTGGAGATACAGCAGTGTGCGCGCGTATGGGCTTATGTAAGCGCGACCATAAATGCGTCTGTGTTTATATGCACATGCACAGTGGCTGAAGCTTTTAAGTCTATAAATTACCATGTGAGCAGCGAGCCCCAGAGCACGCATGTGCACGTGGGCCTATAAAAGCTGACAGATTTCACCTGCTACTCTCGTCAAATAGAAATTGATTGAATCTAACATCCCATCATGTTTGACCCAGACAGATCCCACTGGCTGTGATGCTGTCTCAAAGCGGAAACACATCTTGGAACAAGAACTAAACACGTCCCTTTTGCATTATAGGCGAGCGCAGGGGGAGATATTATTTGTACTCCAGGAGCACCTGTCTCCCACCCCTGTTGCTGCTGGAGTTAGAAGTAAATGGCAGCTGTAAAAATGATTCCAATTAAAAAGACATTTCTGTAAATATGTCATCTTCCAAAGTTTCATCAAATCTGTGCCACTGATGCCAAACATTGCATAGTTAAAGCTACCCCGTGGAGTTTTTGACTTCTAGTAGCACAAATCCCTGTTTTCAAAACACAAAGACGGCCGTGCACGCAACAGGGACGGGTGATAATTCGCGTGGAAACACTATAATGTGCCAGCAAAGACTGTATCCTAGTAAATGTGCACACAGTGTAGATGAAATTGGAGGACAAAGTGCATTCAGCACATTTGTCTTCATGAAAATAAATATAGATCTAATTTGTCTGTTCACAAGGAAACTCCACAGAATCATTTTAATGCTGATATCTTTTATTTGACCATCCGATGTTTTATTTTAAACCCTGCTGCACTCTAATAGTATTATATCCTTTTCCCAAGGGAAGTCGTATCTGCGAGATCTCGTCTCACACACAGTTAGACCGCGAGCTTTTTGAGTGAAGGAGAAAAAAAAATATTTTCGATCTCTGCAATGCTAACATACTGCTTCATTACTTTGCAATTCAAAAACCAATGAAAAGTAACAGAACGGCAGGCGGACAGTAACTTTACACAGGCGCTCGCTGTCTGAGAGGCTCGCTATACCATTGTCAACAAGAGGTCTCTGTCGAGTGTCTTTAAAATGTGGCGGAGCACGGCTGAGCAGAAAGCACACAGTAAATGCATTCTGTGGCTCCTGCAGCTGCAAATTGAATTTTGGGGCATGACTTGACTCAAAACACCTAATAATCCCACGTCACTTGCTGTTCCCGAGCTGAACAAGGTCACACTGTACAGCGAGTAATGAAAAAAAGACCCTTTTTACAAGCATTTATCCAAATGCATTCAGGCTCCGGCGAGATGAAGAAATTTAAAGAAAAGAAAGCACAAATGGCCGAGCACCTGAAGGACAAAAAACTCCCCAACAGAATAAGAAAAATAAACCACAAAACCCTTTCATGTATACGGACGCCACATGTCTGTGCACATATAGCATGCAGTGGTGAAGGGGGGAGCATAGCAAAGACTGACAGGTTTTAAGTCACTGCACAAACAGCTTTTGTTTCTTATGACGTCTCATTAGCCCTGACAAAAAGTTAAAGCTGGGATTATCTAAACCTTATCGCCTCATTTGTCAATCAGCTTTTGAATGTGCACACTCACTCTGATGTGACAGCCAGCACAAGTGCAAACACGTGTTGGGAGTTCAGCAGGTCTATAAAGCACTTGCTGGTAAACACGTAGTCTAGTCAATGCTTTTCGGCTCCATCCATAATCTCACAGTGGCTTTTGAGTGATCAACAGCTCAACAGTAACTACAACACATTTGAAAGCATAAACCAGAGTTGAGTTTGGACTGTATCACATGCTGGCTATGCTGATTAATCTCGCAGTCCTTACCTGCTACAGAGAGGCGTGCCGTGCGGCTGGAAATGGATCCCAGGTTCTCAATGGTGGCAACACACTGGTAGGTTCCTTCGTCTGGCTTGTTATGTTTAGAGTGGACCACATGGCTGAAGAACAGCGTGCCGTCGGGCAGTATTTTTCTCCTCTCGTCTGAAACCAGGCTCATGAAGGTGCCGTCTTTCTTCCATTCGATGTGTGCCGGCGTGGCTGCGTCGCTGTGTGCAGAACAGTTGAGGAAAGCGGAGTTCCCCCGGATGGCCAGCGTGTCCTGGGGCTCCACGGTGAACCAGAAGGGGCTGAAGGGCTGCACTGCTGAAGCTGAGGAGCAACAGAGGGGAGAAGTGAGATGTCAACACAGAAAGTTACGTCAGGTCCACTTTTCTCTGAGCGCTAATGAAAATTAGCGAAATTCTTGCTGCTCTCCAGCAGCTTATCAGTGGGCGATGTGGCTTGAAGATCACACCACAATTATGGGGGCAGATTCATTATCAAGGATGCATTGCTCAACCTTCCCCAGATGATCATTCTCTATCATTCTAAACACCTGATTAGCTGTGTATACAGTGGATTAAAAAGTCTGACAATTTGAGTTAGTGCTCTATTTCTCGTTTTTACATTGATTTTATTCTGAAAGTTCCTGCAGGAAGTGGTAATATACAACACTCGATTTGATGCTTCTTCGGGCTGGTTGCCAGGTCGCCTCCACCAAACTACGCCACAGCCATTCACACTTCTTGTTAGTTGAAATGTGAACAGTGCTGATATTTCTATACAAGTTACTCTAAGAATTTTATTCTGAAAGTCCAGTCTCTTCAAAATAAAGCACCTGTATGTAGCAGGTGGTAAAAACCAATCACAATTTAACACGGTCAGATCATACCAGTGTATCCGTTTCGATTTCACTGATTCCAGCATGGATCTTCTTTCCGTAAGCTTCAACTTCTTTATCGGATTACTAATCAGTAATTGAGTGTAACTACTATCACAGATCAGTGAAGAAACATGCTTGCGGTTAGGCTGCAGCAGAGGGTTGATGAAAGGTGCGAAATGCTTGCAATCACTCTAAATTGCACAACACTACTATCTGCTTTTTCAGTTCGGTCGCAGCATATCCTAAGAAGTCGCTGACATCAATGGCGTGTTTCAATGCTCACTCTAAAAATGACAGAACACTGCAGGACTCCAAGTGCCCCAAACACTGAATGAAGTGTTCCCGAACCAAAACATCTTTTTGTTCGTTCTATCTTTCAGCCAAAGTGCCTCGGCCTTATTCCAGAGCCTCAAAGAGGCTTTTTATTATGAAACCACAAGCCTCGCTGGAATTGGGCAAGAGGAACTGACAAATTTAACCAAGTCTAGCCTCCCTGGCAAGTTAATATCACGTCTTGCGTTATCATAAGTACAGCGTGCGGGGAAGGAGTAAACACGCAGGAACGCGGCTGCCATTTCCTTTCCTCGAGCAGAAATGGTAACATCACATTGACATGAACAGTGCCAAAGTGAGAGTAAGTAAAATTGCTTTGCATTCACCTCATCCATTATTCAAGCACTCCCACTGTAAGAGTCACACTGTGGTATTGTTTAGATAAATAACACCAATTATCAGTTCTGCAGGGATGGGGCAGAGCTTGAAAAATAATTAAAGGGGTATGAAGGTATTTTAATAATTCAACGAATGGAGTGAAATAAGTGGCTGAGTGTTAAATGCAGTTTAAAATATGCCTGCTCTCTTCCAAGGAAATGGCATGTCTCCGGGGGGAGAGGGGAGAGCAGAATGCGATAGAAAGAGATGAAGACAGAAAATGAGAGAGTACTGTGAGAGCGAACGAGGGATCCTGTGCCAATAGTTCAGCTATTTAACTACTAGAAGATAATTTCTCTACCTTGTGGCGCCCTAGCGAGAGATCCAAGATTGAAGTAATATAATGCATGGTCAATTATGGTGGCAATATGAATGCTTGCCCTCTGTGCACTTAGTTGTCTTGAAAGCACAAACAATTACAGAGAAAATACTGTTGAACTAAATAGAAATAGATGCAAATAAATGTAAGCCGTTTTCCCACTAAACTGAGCAGTCAGACCCCACACTAATTCACTGATGAGTGGACCAGAATACTGAAGAGGAAGTGTGCCTGCATTCTGTCTCAGTGTACAGCAGGGACCCTGAACAACTGAATTGAGGCCTGATATACGAGCACAGTCCCTTTAGAAAGATCTGTGTTAGCAGTTACTTTACAGATATCCTCCTATGACTGCTCTGGCGCCATTTCACTGCAGTTGCGGAGTAAATTCAAGCAAAGAAAACTTTATTAGGCTGGGTAATGCACAGAGTGCGCAAGAGCTCAAAACATTTTGAAAATCCCTCCAGGCAGAAGTGGAAGTGAAATTCAAGTGAATAAACAGCAGTAATGAATAAAATATACAATGTTCTAAACTAGCCCAAAACATTTCTAACTGCAGCTCTTAGGAGGCAAGTGAGTGGCTTCTAATTAGACTGAAGCAAGTAGCTAATTTCAGGAAATCAATAAATTCACAGCGAGCCTGCTTACATATTGGGCAGAATGTGACAACACTAGCAAATGTGTTTGACTCATGGTGTATAGGACAGATGGAGAGAGACTTGAGGGAGGAATTCGTCACTCCAGCGGACCAAAAGCACCATGACATGCTTAATCATCTCTGCATTACACTGCTGGAACAGTTGGGTGTGTGGGGCTGGGCAGCGCGTCTGTGCCCAGGTTTGGCTCCCCTCCAGTCAAAAGACCATCTTCAGCTGCTCTCTATCTGAGGGAAAAAACTGAATGGGCTTGAAGGTCCTACAAGCATCCTATCAGAGTCAAAGCAGCTGGCTTTAGCAGCTTTTCATCCCAATCGCAGAAACAGTAGGGGAGGGCTTAGCTTCGGCTCTACTTTTGAGAAAATGGCAAACCATCTGCATTCAGCTGCAGACACAACAACCAACGTCTGTGCACTGGGATGAACCAGGGGTGTAAGGAGTTTGATGGCAGGCAATCGGCTTTTTGGCAGCATCTAACTAATCTTCTGTTAGAATCTTTGACTCATTAACACCATTTCTGCTACTAATCTCAATTTCTCCCTCACATTACCTTCAACCGCTCCTGGCAGATGGCTGCCCCTCCCTGAGCCTGGTTCTACTGAAGGTTTCTTCCTGTTTGAAGCGAGTAGTTCCTTATCTATCGCCAAGTGCTTGCTCATTTGACGTCGTCTGATTGTTGGGGTTTCATTCTATTATTGTAGTGTCTTTACCTTATAATACAAAGCACCTTGAGGCAACTATTTTTGTCATTTGGTGCTATATAAACAAAACTAAATCCAATAAAACTGCAAACAGATTCCAAAACAAGGATGCCAACGTTAGTGGCCAAAGTTCAAACGGGCGCGTTTCACGTAAAGGTGGGATTGTGTAAATCAATGCCGAACACCCTGGACTCATCTGCAGACTGAACAAATATTTTGACAAAAGGCGACAGCAGCATTCCAAACCGATGACTATATTTCATGTTTCCGTCTTTGTAGCATGTAGAGAAACACAATCATAAAAGAAGTTTCACATAAAGCGCAGTGTAGCCAGCGTATAATTTCTCTCCTCTAGAAAGCAACTAAAAATAACCAACTCAAGGCAAATTTATCTCTTTCAAACTCCCTCAGATTATTTATAGAAAATGAGGGAAAATGTATGAAAGCACACAGAGCAAAATCCATATTTCACCAATTTAATGGGTCCCTTAGGAATAACAACAAAGTCCCCGTATCAATAAACAAGCTTCTGAACGCTAACCTAAAGCAATTCCAGTGACGTAAGGAGAAGCTGGAAAAACCACACCCGTGACTGATATTTAAAAGTTCACTAGCCTGAATTGTCGCTCCTTGTAAAAAAGAGAGGACAAGCAGCCAGCACCTCAGCAGGAAGCAAGGATCTCTATCTGCAACATGTGATTAAAAAAAACAGAAGAAAATGCACAAACATCAGTATCTTAGAGTAAAGACAAGCTTCAACCTTTATGCCAGAGCTGAGGGAAAAAAGTTTACTTTTGGCAGCTAACAAGGTTCCGAGTTATAAGCCTGGAAAAAAAATTTGTAATGAACACAAATAGAACGAGCAGTGGCGTGCCGATGCACTGTGAAGTGCTCGCTGACAGAAAACTCAACAGAACTCATGTTCTCATACATCAAAGTGCAGAAAAACCAAAACCTGCTGAAACAGAACATAATGAGAAGAAGGGAGATCAGTTAAATTTGCAATGACAGGAATTTCTGTCTCTTGTATACATTTGTTTTTTGTCTTTCGCTCACACAGCCAGATGATGGCTATATGTTTCCCAGAGAAATGCAAAGTGCACCTTTAAATGTTTCTTACAATAGCACTGAAACACAGCGGGCTTTTAACAGCACAGCTGTAGAGTTAGAGGAGGAGAGAGGGGTCAGAAACCACATTACAGTGTGAGGAGTCTAATCTATTCGGGCCCCCATCCGTTTGTGTTTGATAAATAGAAACCTCCACACCAGGCAACCAGTGAGAATAAGTCGAGCGGAGAGCAAGGGGCTAGAAAATGGGCTTGTCTGCTTGATAAGCATGGGCTGTTACCTCTGTCCCAAATCCACTTTTCTCCGCAGTCATAAAAGGTTTGGGAGCCCGGCTTAAGGTGGTGCTGCGATATGCTGCAGTGCTCCCCCCCACTCGGATATGAGGAAGACAGAATGGAGATGTGGGGCTAGTGATGGATTTCCCCCACGTCCTGACAATGTTAAAAGCACGATTTCAGACATTACGGAGATTACTATCTAGGTGAGGGGTATATATGTGTGTGCGTGTGATAACTAGTAAGCCACAACTTCTAGCTCTCTTCCCGTGAGAGTTTAGAAAAGTAGAAAAAGGTGTCTGCATCAACTGTGCGAGGTCATCTGCACTGACCCCAGATACCGGTTAACAATTTCGGCAAATTACAAAGTCAGCCTCGTAACATTGGGTGTGTTAAAAAAAAGAAATCCCACTGAAGGCAGTAAAGAGTGGGTTGGCGAGGGTCTGCTCTCTGCACAAAGACCCCCTGTTCTCTCCTATTCTGCACTTGGCCCAGCAGGAAGCCTCCTCCCTCATTGACCCACCGCCTGACAGCAGTCATAGTGACTGCCCTCCTTATTGAGCCACTCTTGAGACAGAACAGAGCGCTCTGGAAGCCAGTCGCGTTTTCAACAACCGAGGCTCTTCTGTGGCCTGAACTTGGAACGAGGAAATCCTGGACATCATCAACAGTAAAAACACTTTGCAGAGATTTGAAACCACTGGGAAATTACATCTG